ATAAAATCATTCATCTTCTTATAAATGCGTTAAAGATAGTTATAATAAAATAAACTCATAAACTAGAAGATGGCTATAACCTGACAACGATAAGGATAAAATATAAGATTCAGAAAATAATTAGACTAAACTTTAAAAAAATAATTTGGTTAAAAGAAAAAAACATTAATCTAGTTTAATTCGATTGTAAATTTAATAAAACTAATAAATAAATAAAAATGTGAAAAACGACTATAAATATGAAGAAAAAACAAAGGATAGTGGCGATTAAGTTTAAAAAGGTTTAAATAAAATTAGTTAATCAGACTAATAATAACAATAAAAAGTTTAATTAAATCTATTAACTAAAAATAGCTACTTATTACAAATAAATAATAAAATGTCTTTTTATAATAAGATTATTTTATAAAACTTTTTAAAAGAAAGTATAATATTTTAATTTATCAGTTTACATGAATTAATTTAAATATATATTCTTTTTAATTAATTCTTAAGTAGGTCTTTTAGAATAACTTAATAATATGTAAAATATATTATTCTTATTACTGTTAATTCTATTCTATTTTATGATTTAAAAACTGTCTTAATAATATTAGCTAATTCTTTATTATTATTAACTATAAACTTATTTATCATTTTAATAGAAAGTATCTATAAATTGAATAAAAGAATATATAAATATTTAATTTATATCATTTTCATTTCTATTGTCATATTTTGCTTTTACATGATTTATATTAGTATTTAAAATAATTTTTATAAGAAATACAATGATTGGCTACCTTTTTATTTTTTAGTAATTTGTTTGGATATACTTATTTATTAAATTATTTCTAATTTATAAAATACAAGTAGTATAAAAATAAAGCTATTTAATATTATTAATTTATAAATATATCTAATAAATATATATAAAAAAATATTTAAAATTAAAAACCCTAATATATGTTATTAATTTAGGAATAATATAATCTTTATTTTAAATATATATATTTTATAAAAAAAATATATTATAATTAAAATATAATATTTTATATTTTATTTGTTGAAAATTTTTTTATTAGATATTATTGTTTATATATATATATTTTGAAATTTTAATTTAAGATTTATATATAAATGCAAAAATATATAAATATTATTATAAGATTTTGTTTTTATATTATAAAATAAAATAAATATTATAAACATTCATCATTAAATATATTTATATATTTAATATTAAAATATTAAAAAAATATGATAACAATTAAAAATAATTTATAATATTAAAAAATTAAATAAGATATAAACTAAAACTTTAAATATATTTTATTTTAAAATATATAAAATATATATATATTTATTCTAAAATTTTAAAATATTAAAAAATTAAAAAATAAAATTAAAAATAAATTAATTATTTTAGATAATTTATAATTATTATAATATATTTAATATATAATACAAATAAATAAGAATAATTAAAATAATAATATAGATTTTTATTGTAAATATTTTTTATTAATATATATTTAAAATTATTTATATTTAAATATAAATATATATATATGTATATATATACATATTTATATATATATTTTAATATATATCATGTCTATAAATTTTTTTATATATTTATTTTTCTTTTTTTATATTATAATATAAATACATTTTTATAATAATTAATTTTTATATATATAAATAAATATTTATTTTAAAAAATATTAAATATTTTTTTAAAATATTTTATTATAATAAATATATTTGTAATATCAATTTTATAATACAAAAATATTTTTATTATATTTTAATAAATATAATTTTATTTTATTGTTTTTATATTATAATTTTTATCAATTAAAATATTTAAAAACAATATTTTTTTTATATTAAATTTGTATTTTTTTCAACTATACATTTCTTAAAAATCAATATTTATTTTTAATGCTTTTAATATATAATATAATAATAAAAATTATAATAAATGTAGAAAATATAAACATAATTAATATATATAAATTATTGCAATCAAATTTTAATATATTAAAAATGCTAATAAAAATTATTTCTAATAATTAGATAAAAATATATATATTATTATCTTTTATTTTAATTTATATATAATAATCACATATATTTTTTAAAAAAATTAATATTATAAAATATTATCAAATATAAATTATATTTTATTTAATAAAAAGTTAATTATGAATGTAAAATAAACATGGAGCAAATATATATTGTTACAAAATTAAACTTAATTTTAATATTTTATTCTCAAAAACAATTTTTTAATAAAATATTTATTAGTTGATTATATAATAAAAATATTTAATAATTATTTTTGCAATAAAAAAATACTATTTAGAAATTTTATATATCTAAATGTTATATATATATTATTTTAAGATTAAATAAAATATACTGAAAAAAAAATAAAAAAAAAGTATCATATAAAATAAATAAAAAATAATATAAAATTAAAAAATATAAATTTATAAATAATTTATAAATTATAATAGTCTATTTTATAAATAATTTTATTTTTAAATAGAAAATATTTTTGATTTATATATTAAAAAGAAACTTTTTAATAGATATATAATATATATTAGTAATAAAATTTTCTAATAAAATAAATTATTTATTATTATACTATATAAATATAATATATAATATATATCATTTTTATTTTATATAGAATATTTTTAAAATTATAATCATTTAAAAAAAATCTTATTTAATTTTAATAAAAATTATACAAATTAAAAAAATTATATAAAAATAAAAGTATAATAAATATATATAATAATATTTATAAATAATTTAAACATATAAATATATATTTATATATATTATATTTATATTTTAATTAAAAAAAAATATTCTTATAAATAAAATAAATATAATAAATTATAAAGTTAAAAATATATCCTTTTATTTATAAAAATAAATTATATTTGTTTTCCTGATTTTTAATTTTCATAAATTTTTCATAAGTATTAATATCAAATATAATATATAAATATATTTTAATAATTGAAATGATAAAAATTGATTTTTTATTTTATATTTATAAAAAAAAATATATATAAAAATTATTATAAATATTTATGATAATAATTTATTAACACATATAAATTATATTAAATTATGTAATATTAATACTTAATATATTTTTAATTAATTTAATTATAATTTAAAATTATTCATATAATTTAATTTTCATTTAATTTTATACCTAATAACCTATAAATAATTTATAAACAAATTAACATTATAAAATTATATCAATATTATTTCTAATTATATTTGATAAAAATTTATTTATAAACATACAATTTATCATGTGCAAAATAAATATTTTAATAATATTAATCTTAATTTTAATAGTTTATTCTCAAAAAAAAGTATAAGTATAAAAATGTTTATTTGGTGATTTTAAAAACATTGATGTTCGAAATTGTGGTTTTGAAATGAGAGGACTTGCTGGAAGTGATTATGTTTCTAAATGTGCTACATATACTCTTTTAGGAGGGTATAATATATGCGGAAAAGATTGTGTTATAAGTAATAGTTTTAAATCAATTAATCCTTTATATAGTTATTAATTCACTTTTTAGTTTATGTTGATTGATTCATGGGATACTAATGAATATTTCACTATTATGGTAAATGGAAATGAGGTATTTCGTGCATAAAAAGTTGATGGAATACAAAATTTATGTGGATATATGACAA